AATTCATCATCAAAGTATCTCGTGTCAATTTCTGAGGTCTGAAAGCTCTATGTATGTGCGATGAACAGCGCACATACATAGGCTTGTTGGCTGCACAGTGACTGCCAGTGATTGGCTTGTCACTGTGCTGTGGGCAGGGGGCGGGTCCGGAGGCAGAAGCGCGGCTCGGCGCAGGCTGAAGAGAAGAGCTAAGGTAAGGGGCCTGAATGGAAAGGATAAAATCCTTATGGAAAGCAGGATCTGCCCAGGGATTGTGGAAATATTTTATCCTCTGTGTCGGGGGAATGGTATATGTGGAGAGGGAGTTGCCATCTGCAAGTTTCCCTCAGCTAAAAACACGAAAACAGCTAGGAAGCCAGGACACCTGAGGAAAAGAGCTATGGGGAGCTGATTGAGCTTGGTTGCTGATTGAGCTAAGGTTGTTAGCTGCCTCATTTCCTACCCTAGGCTTATACTCGAGTCAATATTTTTTCCCAGTTCTTTGTGGTAAAATTAGGTGCCTCGGCTTATATTCGGGTCGGCTTATACTCGAGTATATACGGTATTTCACAAGGAGATGGGATTTGTAAAATATCAGGTTGAATATTTCTGTTTTTACTTAAAGTTCTATTTAGAAATAGGGACAGACTCTCAAGTGATATAAATTGGCATAGTTTATTGTGATGGGGTAGATAAACACACTTTCCATTAACATGAAAAGTAATTCTACTGCTCTACTCTGCACTGATTAGGCTTCAGTTAGAATATTATGTCCAGTTCTGGGCATCACATTTCAGGAAAGATGTGGAGAAATTGGAAAGAGTCCAGAAAAGAGCATCAAAAATAATTGATCTAGAAAACATGATCTATATGAGGGAAGACTGAAAGAATTGGGTTTGTTTAGTTTGGAAAAGAGAAGACTGAGAGAGGACATGATAACAGCTCTCAAGTACCTAAAAGGGTGTTTCAAGGAGGAGGGAAAAAAAATATTCCCTTACCCTCTGATGATGGGAGAAGAGCAATGGGCTTAAATTGCAGTAAGAGATATTTAGGTTGGACATTAGGAAAAACGTCCTAACTGTAAGGGTGATTAAGTAATGGAATAAATTGCCTAGGTAGGTTGTGGGATCTTCATAATTAGAGATATTTAAAAGCAAGTTAGATAAGTATCTGCCACGGATGATCTAGATGGTCCTTGGTCCTGCCCTAAGTACAGGGGATTTGATGACTTACTGAGGTCCCCTCTGGTTCTAGTATTCTATGATTATCCCTACCCTGTTGAAACCCCTGGATAAGGTCACCAGAGTCAAATACCAGCCATGATGTGTCCCAAAGGGAGAGATATAGTGGTAGGAAAAAGCCCCGGGGACAGCATTAGCTGGACCACAGATAACAGATTCCTCATTACAGTGTTACAGAGGGCCCCTAGCTCACAACCTGGTGGAGTAGGAGGGCCCAGGGTCACCTGCCCAGAACCACACAAAGGGAGGCCACTGTGCCCCTTATAAGAACATAAGAACGGCCGTACTGGGTCAGACCAAAGATCCATCTAGCCCAGTATCCTGTCTACCGACAGTGGCTCACGCTTGTTAATACAATTTGGCTGAATAAATGGTAAAAGCTGAGTTACATATCAAAACATTTCATTGATATTAGTATGTGAACACTCTACTCAAATTAAAACACTGTTGCTTTGTGAGACATAATGGAGTTAAGGTTCTGGGTTAGCAATTTCATCTGTAGCATTAACTGGGAATGTGTGGGATGATTATATAGAAACTTCTGCTCCAGATCTTTTCCCAAAGCTCAGGGATTCATACTAAACAGACCAAATCGCATCTTTAGCAGTTCTCCTCCAGTAAGTACAGATGTGTGCTGTAGGTAGTGCCTGAAAACTTTATTTTGCAGCTCTGCAGACTGCAGGACCAAAGATGACAGATTTCTTTCTTTCTTTCTCCTTCACATGACTGGGGGCGTAGGCATGAGGGAAGAGGAGAGGTGAGATGATGAACAGCATAGAAAGAAAGTGATAAAATTTAGGTCAAGTTTGGCCTGAAAAGAACCAAACGACAAACACACTCACTGACAACTGAGACTCCACTCCTGATTTTATTTGCAATGATGCTTTGAAGAAAAGTTGTCAGGCAAAATAGCTGTGGCACTGGGATCTTTGATCCTGCATAGTTTCAGAGAGGCAAGCTAAGCATAGCAAGTTCAGATGAGATCTCCACAATATCTAGGTGAACTTGAAAGTGTTCCTGTCAAGGGCAGTATCTGTCAACATAAAATCAATATACTGAGTTTAAACAAATAAGTAAAAAAAAATCAACATGGCTATCAAGCAAATGAGCATAAATGGGCATAAAGGGTATGTCTAGATTACATGGCTCCATCGACAGAGCCATGTACATGAGTTGACTAGACACAGGAAAATGAAGCGGCAATTTAAATAATCGCTGCTTCATTTACATCAAAATGGCCACCGCGCTGTGCCGATCAGCTGTTGGGAGGTACAGCGGGGCAGTCTGGACACTCCACGGTTGACAACGGAAGCCTCTGTCGACTGCTCCGGTAAACCTCATTCCACAAGGCATAATGGAGCGGTCGACAAAGGCTTCCTTTGTCGACGACGGAGCGTCCAGACTGCCCTGCTGTGCAGCCAAACAGCTGATTGGCACAACGCAGTGGTGATTTTGATGAAAATGAATCGCCGCTTCATTTTCCTATGTCTAATAAACTCATCTACATGGCTCCGTCGACAGAGCCATGTAGTCTAGACATAACCAAAGTGACTATTGTAGGCATTTGTAACACCAGAGTAGATAAGCACCCAATCGAAAAATCAGGGTATTCCTTGTTCTATGAAGGCAGATGGTGCCTCTCTGAAAACTGCTCCTATTTTGGAGAATTTTAGAAGGCTACCTGCTTTCAGTCGCTTAGAAAATTGCAAACAATCAGAATATTTCTGTTGTTCCTTCAATGTTACCAGCTGTATTCTAGGAAACAGACCTTGATGTGTATTCATACTGAATGAAATTCGATACTCTGTGGAAGCCAGGACAAGATTTGGATATCACTTATGTCCTCAAATGCTATTCTCAAAACCTGTTGTGAAGGTATGTGGGATATAAGTGGTGTCCAGGCCTTGGGCTGGTTCTCTGCACAAGGGTGAATTTCTTGACTTTTGAGAACATGGGTTAGCATTCTTTAATGTTTTCAAGATATTTTAGATCAAAATAAAAAAATAAAGAAAGAACAAACGTCAGAATGTATAATTAATATTTGCAATAGGAAATATGAATTCCATAATCTGCCACTTAGATGCCACCAGTACACTTTGTCCAACACAGTTTAGAAAGTTCTCAGGAGAGATCTCTTCCCCTGGAAACTTTAAGTGCTGTGGAATTCTGGTAGTACCTCCGGAAGTGCTTCCTTTTGTGAGTGCACAAAAGTTCCCCATAAACTCTTCTATTTACAACATGTAAAAGGATAGAACAAGAGCTCTCACTTCTGCTAACGCATTATGTATCTAAGTACTTTTTTCACTAAGTTGTACACACATGTACATCACAACTTTCTTTAGCTGCACATTTTGCAAGCCTAGTAAAAAGTCATAGAAAATGCACTGAATATTCTGTCACTTTCAAAGGAGCCTAACAGTCAGCTCAATAAGAATGATTTCCTTACTGTTTTTACCTGCAAGAAAACCCCTTCAAAAGCAACCACTGATACTCCTGTGCCTGAAAAAACTAAAATCAACATTAACTTGATACTAGCCAGGAACATGGGAGAGGGGGAGAATTGAAAGCAAGGAACCAATTTGTAGATTTCTATGTATGGTTTTACAGTTAAAGTCCAAGAGCCAGGTAAGTGCCCATAAAAGAGAATTAAAAGGAAAGATTAATTTGTCTGACTTTGTGTTGCATGTCACCAGTGGTTCTATTAGTATAACCATATTCCATGTTATTATTTATAAGAAAACATTTAAACTACATGTTATGCAATCCAATATGATGGTTTGGAAAACTGGCCCAAGTTTTTGCTTTGTGAATGGATACCTGTAATAACTGTAGCATGGGCAGTAATAAAAGGTCTAACTATGGCTGGCTAAATTGTGCTCGGATTATAACACAGAATCTGATAGCTTGTCATTCTGTACTAAGCAAGGCCTTATCTAGAACTACAGCTGTGCTCAGATATTGACACCCCTAAAAGATCTGACGTACAATACACCATGTTTTTCTGAACATGAATAGATCCTGCACTGAACTATATTTTTTCTTTATTCTTTCACTCATCACTTATTATTCTCTACAAAAATTGAGGTAGAGAATAAAATCCTAAACATGGACTTTGGAAATGAGCTTTAGCTATAAACTTAGGGCATGAATACTATCCTGTGATTACATATTTATGCAAATAAACCTGTATTTATGATTACTTTGCCCACCCTCCCCCCACACACACTTCAAGCCTATTGGCCTGTTTATCCACAAGCTGCATCTTGTCATAATCCAAGACTGTGATGTTGCTTGAGCAACTACTGTATTTATTTTACACATTTGTATGATGTGAAACTCAATGGAGACTCAATAATAGTCACTAAGTACTGCTGGAATAGAATAGTTATTATAGGCAGAGCTAGTAGCAGCAGCTATAGTTAAAGTTGCTGAATACTTTATGTTACAAGCCTATTTTCAGTTGCTTATAACTTTGTCACTTTAAAGGTGAAAACCTGGCAGCACTTGGAATTTTGCTTATTGAGGTCAGTGGAGTGAGAATTTCTCACCTTTTGTGTGATATGGCAGAAATTGCTTGCTCTCTCCCTGAAACATATGTTTTCCAAAGTTTCAGCAAGAACAGCCATTTTGGAGAATGAGGCTACAAAATATAGTCAGTTTTTTTTTCTGAGTGGTTAGATGGGCCATAAGATGTTGTGGTTTTGGACTGGTGAGGAAAGTAGCCTTCACTATAATATAAATTCTAGAAAAAGGGCTGGAAAAGAGATTGTGAACACTTACTGCAAGGAAGATCTGAAGGGAGCTGTGAGCCACTTCTATATACTGATATTCAAGCAAACACCCTGAGACAGTGATGTAACGATGATCCTCTGGTGCCCAATCTGGGGCTGGTGTCACAGATGTCACTGTACAGCCTGGGCCATTCTCCATCCACCAAGAACGGTGCATTGAGATATTGAAGGTCAGGATAAGATCCGTTTCCTACAAAAGAAAAAGGGAAGGCTATAATTCTGGAATAGTACTTTGATGGTATTGGAGTACTCAGGATTGAGAGTCACCTTATTACGTCACTGGTCCCTGCAAGAAGCAGATTTGCTTGCCCTCAATTGGGTGTCAGCTGTTAGCCACTCCTGCAGGCTATGCCAGTCCTTGCTTAGCCTTGGGCTACGTCTACACTGGCCCCTTTTCCGGAAGGGGCATGTAAATTTCACGAGTCGTCGTAGGGAAATCCGCGGGGGATTTAAATATCCCCCGCGGCATTTAAATAAAAATGTCCGCCGCTTTTTTCCGGCTTTTAAAAAAGCCGGAAAAGAGCGTCTAGACTGGCCCCGATCCTCCGGAAAAAGTGCCCTTTTCCGGAGGCTCTTATTCTTACTTCAAAGTCCGAAAGGGGACAATGTCCAAACTAGCTTATTTGTGTCAGCTCATACCACAGCACTGAGATATATTTCTGGTAAAAGCAACAACCATACATTTATCAAAGATCAACATTTTGGACATAATGGGTAAGAAACAAAGAAGTGACATATCAAACTAACGTATAATAAAAGTTTAGTCTCTAGAAAGTATAACCTGTTAACATTCTATGTAGAACATTATTTCACTCCAAAAGTCTTCTGCAGTGTTTCATCTAGGGGTGGTTATTATCCTGCTTTCATGAATCTTAGGCCACTGCCAGATTAGTTCTTAAGTGCAGGGAAAAGGGATTCTCTCTCTGCTGCCTAGATATGTCCCCCAACATTCAGTCTTTGGGCACAGCCAGGCTAATCCCCAGTCTTGTTGTTTTCCTATGTGCTCCTTTCCAGTTGACTCTCTATTCTTCCATTCTGTTGGCTTATAATGCTTAGCTGATCTTTTGATAAAGGGAGACACGGTGTATCTAAGGTCCAGAAGAAACCTGTTTACATCTTTGTTTGGTGACAAACTTTAAAACATATTTTCAGCACATACACACACCTCTTTAAACATCATCCATATGTACATTTTGCAAGCATTATGAGAATCTGTGTGTCATAAGCATTTATAGGAGACCTCACATGATTCTCTTTGGTGAAGTAGAATGCACATCCCAGGATCAGGATATTTGTATCACCTTCCTGCCGATTGGTGCTGAGGTGTTCTTGGGTGTATCAGTTCTAGTATTACCCTTGTACTTCATCTAGACAATGAACAATAGGCATAAGGGATGCAAGAGCAGTAAAATAACCTCATTTACTTGGGGGCCAGTAACGGACAGATCCCCCCAGTCTACTGGGAGTCCCGGGATGGATTGTGCAATTGCTCCAGCTGGTACTAGCCCATGGGCTGGGAATTTGAGACCCCTAGTGTAAAGTATCAATCAGCACATATTCTCAGCCATACAAAGAAAATTTGCTGTAAGAAGCATCTTTGCAGAACCAAGCTCTCCTACACATCCAGATTATTTACATTTTTCAATTTGTTGAATACATGAATATTTAAGACCGCCAAAGATTTCAAAATAACTATTTAACCAAGTTTACCACAGTGAAGCGAGTACAATAACTCCATTCTGAAGACACTGGGTGTTTTTTTCCTCTTCTCTCAAAAGTACTCATTTTCCAATTGCATTTAAGTCATAGTCTCCTTGTTTGTACTAACTCAAACAACGGTAATTTAATGCAAATTTTTTTTGCATTATTTCATGACTGATATATCAATCTGTGCTTGCATTTGGCACCATCGTGCAGCTAAACATATTTTAAAATATGCAGACTTTTCTTCAATATGGGGATATCACTGTTGGGTATGTTTAAAATCAATTATTAATCTGTATGGACCCACACAACTACCAGATAGCAGGGCCAGCTGTGAATATTTTTGCGATCAATAAATACCATGCAATCCCATAAGAGCCTTCTAGGTATGGATAGTGCTTATTAATGTGAATAGGGCTACTCATAATATTAACTTCTATGCCTTGTGGCAAGTGTTTGGACAATCATACCCCATGTGAACATTTGGACAAATAGCAAAACCCGACAGATCTAGATATAGTCAGGTCCACTGAACTGAATCTGAATACTGTGGTTTAATTTGGCAGATGTTTCAAAATAAAACTTCATAACAGCAAGAGCATTGAGAGCAAAGAAAGATGCCCTTATTTTGCACAAGTTAAGCATGAATAATGAAGATGATGCCCTGGAAATAGAGATGTACAAGATTCTGGTTTTATATATAGTCTGCTTATATTGCAGCTTGGAGCACATTTCACAGCACTGATAAATAGATGCATTAGAAAACAGCAGGGTAGGTGGGGTAGCATGGGCTTCGGTTCAGGCTCTCTGGCAGAGTATGTACCCAGGGACTTTGGGCAGATTTCTACCTAAGGGTATGTCTACACTACCCCGCTAGTTCGAACTAGCGGGGGTAATGTAGTCATCCGCAATTGCAAATGAAGCCCGGGATTTGAATTTCCCAGGCTTCATTTGCATTAGGCTTCTAATCCGAACTAGCTGTACGCCTTGTTCCACGGATTAGGCTTCTAATCCGAACTAGCTAGTCCGTGCCGCGTGTAGCCGCGCGGCACGGGGTCCGAACTAGCCGGCATTTAAAAATGGCGCCGGCCGGCTTCATGCAAATGAAGCCCGGGAAATTCAAATCCCAGGCTTCATTTGCAACTGCGGATGACTACATTACCCCTGCTAGTTCAAACTAGCGGGGTAGTGTAGACATACCCTAAGAGACTAGCCCAAACTGTGACCTAGGCTACTCCAGATTTACTGATATTTTTAGCGTGCTAGTGGGAGTACAGTTAGCATGCATCTTTCTACTCACATATTCCCAGCTACAGCATGGACATACATACCCACATTACTCATCTTGAAATAAACAGAGTTGAAAATCTAGTGGAAGGGGAAACATATGAATATAGAAATAACAGAGGCAAAAGTAGTACAATAAAGTTGAGAATTCTAACACTTTATATTAAAATTACCCCAAAAGGAAACCAATTTGTCTCAATACCTCAGCTGTCTCAAGCATTGTAAAATAACATTTGGAATGACATATAATTTTTATGTGCCCAGAACATCTGTCTCCGCAATAATTTTGATTGCCTATTCCATACAAGAAAATTGGAAGTTCCTGCTACATGGCACGAAGAGGCTGGAATAAGGGTGAAGATCTTACACTACCAGTATTTCTGCTGAAGTTAAATTAATGGATTTACACTGGTACAAGTAAATCAAAGTTCATTACATTATTGTCCGAAGACCTGTTCCTTTTTATGTCATTGTAGCAATTGTGGGAAATTCTTAACCTCTCTACTTTCTTATCAGAGCAGCAGTCAGAATGGATTGAATTGTTTCATTCTGTTTTATAGCTTGCAGTAAACTCAAAAGTATCATGGTCAATGAAAAATTTGAAGAAATAAAAATGAGAAATGCAAAGTGAACTCTGAAAAAAAACAGTACAAAAACAACAGTCAGACACGGAGTAATTCTTTATGTGTGTAAAGCTGGAATTGAAAAAAGAGCGAGGTGGTTGGCCATGGAGGGGCAAATTTCAAACCTTATGTAAGTGGATGCAATTTCATTGATTTCAATGGAATTGTGTTCACTTACACCTGGCTGCATTGATCCACAGAATTAGAAATGAGAAATGCAAATAAAATTCTAAACAGCATAGACAATATAATTACACATTAACATTTGCATAATTACATATGCATATAAAACATTGCATATTCCAGTCTTCTTCCGTTGTTGAACGCATTCCCTAAAGCTTCACTGGAATGATTTTCTATTACACTTAACACTTTTTTACCCCCCAAATAACAGTTTTTGGCATTTTATTGGAAAGCTGTGATTAGTATTCAATTACAATTGCTTCAGATAAGGATAGGCTTTTGGGAGCTATCGATAAAAAAATAAAAAGGAAAACTCAAGCAAGTACACAACACCACAGTGGCTGTGAGCGGATGAACTGGGTTTAACTTCTGGCTCCACCAAGGACTTGCTTACCTGAGCAAATCACTGAACATCAATGTTGTTTGTTTTCCTCATCTTTAAAATGGAGTGATATCTATCACAGAGAAGTGTTTGAAAGTCTTCAACAATTATAATTTTTTTTAAACAAAACAGAATCCCAGCTTTGAGATCTTTGGGTAGAAGGTACTAAAAAGTGATGAATATTAATAAGATTTTAAAACTGAATCAACAGCTAAGAGAAATGTAGTTTAAAAAGCAAAAAGAGGTGCTAAGTCAAATGGCATACTGATTTCAGTAAATACATCCACATGTCTCAACAGAAATCGGAATATAATAGGCCTGATTGTGATCTCTGTTAGATACTCCTGCAATTCTATTGAATTCACAGGTATTACCATATAAAACTGGCATAAACAGGCTCAGAATCAGTCCCAGAGTCCATTATGTCTCCTACCTACAGTGAAGTAGTGAGTAAATCAGTAAAGCAGGACTAAGGAGCAGGTCTGCAGCTGATGTAAATCATCATAGGTACACGGGCTTCAAATCCAATGAGCCTTTGACAATTTACACCAGCTGGGGATCTGGACTCCATGTGTGTGTCATTCCATTTACAAGGAGACGAGAGAAGAATCCATGGCTGGCGGGTGGGGAGGGACCCACTGCATCTATGTTAAAGGTTCCAATGACAAAACCAGTAAATGCTGAAAGGTCTTTGAAGAACTGTCTAAGTCAGTTTGAGGAAAGATACATCCATCACAACCATCCATTATGCAAGAGCACCGAGAATTCTTCATGGAGAAACTCCTCTTGCTATTTACACACATTACTATGCACACTATTTGAATACAGTGTTAGTGGACATAGCAAAAGATTACAGAAGCAGCAAGGGATTATTTTTAATCCTCTTGTGTATTTCCTGTATGTATTCTTTTCAGTATCTGTGGATCAGATGCTGTTCTTGAGAAATACTGAGAAGTAGCCTGATAAGCCTTGAAGCTTTGGATCTTACAGGAATGTTGATACATTCTGGGC